AGTACAAGAAAAATTAGTCAAACTTTCAATGTGAGTCACATGACAGTTTACAGAATTTTAAAGGAACAGCAATTATATCCTTACGCTACCTGATTTCCAACCACGTATCGAATTTGCTCAATGGCTTCAAAGAAAAGTCGAACAAAATCCTCAAATTTTATCGAAAATCCTCTTCACAGATGATGCGAATTTTTCAAGAAATGGTATCATGAACTTCCATAACAACCACATCTGGACGGAAGATAACCCACATGCGATAACGCAAACTCATTTCCAAGACAGATTCTCTTTTAATGTATGGGTAGGCATAATCGGGAATTATATAATTGGGCCTTATTTTCTCCCCTTAACTTTGGATGGAGATTCTTACCTACATTTTTGGAACACGAGCTTCTCCAACTTATGGAAGATGTTCCCATTGGTCTCCGAAATCACTCTTGGTTTATGCACGATGGAGCTCCTGCTCATTTCAGTGTGATAGCAAAAACTTTTTTAGACGTAGCATATCCCCAACGATGGATAGGAAGAGGAGGCACTGAGCATTGGCCCCCGAGGTCACCGGACCTCAATCCCGTCGATTTTTTTAGGGACACCTAAAATAACTAGTTTATGCTAGCTCCATTGAAAACGAGGAAATGTTGAGGAATTGCATCATAGCTTGCTGCGAAACGATAAAAAACACTCCGGGCATTTTTCAACGAGTGCGAAATTCTTTGATGAGGAGAGCAGAAGCCTGTATTACTGTCGTCACTTTGAACAGTTGTTGTAATAGTTGTTTCGTTCAATTTTTATATGTTCATTTTCCTAATGAATAACATAGTACTCCTACGAATTGTTTTTTTTACAAACTCCGAAATGTGGCTTAATGGCCAATGTGGTTTAATTGAATAATTAAACCTGACAATTTTTTTTTTAATTTGGATTGAAAAAGCAGTTCGCTAATGCTCAGTTTAGAAGAAGTCTGTACCGGTATACTGCGTATAAAGTTATATGAAAATAACTAAAATTGCAAAAAAAAACCTACCATGCTTTGAAAAATTTCAACAATCTATATTTCGAGAACGAATCATTCTTCGTTGAACATTTTATAGGAAAAATTTGTTTATTTTGACGAGATCCACCACATACTTAGTTTTTGTAATGTACTCAGCAACTTCACTTGGAGCGCCCTTGGAGCTAAGTAATATGCATCGATATAGAAAATTGTGAATATCTCGAAAACGATCACCTCCAGCGTTGTTGAAGAAGTGTCCCTTTTTTACTTGGAAAAGGTGTGGGAATTAGGTTTTTTCATGAAAAGTACCAAAAGTTTACTGTCAATAAAGTTAGGGCAATTTGAAATGAATAATGCCAGCGTACCCAGCGCCCTATAGATTTTACATGAAATTTGATACAGTACTCGGGGTTTTTTTGACGTGGGAAATCATAAATCAATTTCAACACCCCTTATCTCCGAAACGAAGCAATTTCGGACACAAGTTCATATAGACTTTTTTTCTTGAAATTGTTTCAGGAATACGTCACTTGAATATTTTAACGAACTTATGTTACACCCTGTATATACATGCACGGGAAGTGGCACATTTGATTGTACCAAAAGCGGTACATATCAGAAATACTCGATAGACTGTGGCTGCCCATCGTTTTAGAACTCGTTCATCTAAACATTGTGTTTATATGGAATAAACGTTTTTCCAAATGGATTCAACCTTAAGCGATCCAAATCCAATGTGAATCACTACTTTGGCACATGCACCGCTTTGAGAGCGCCTTTGAGAGTTTCTTGTAGTGCTTGTGTTTTGTTCTTGAAAAAACTGCACTTTTTTTCGTGGTTCCAAAGTAGACTGACCCGCAGCTACGAGAAATGCTCTATATCCCGGATGTTGCGAAAGTTTCTGTGGGGTCCTTAGCCGCATTTGAATACTTCAAATTGAATATAATTTTTTCATGTCAACTTTTCACATTCGAAAACGTCTTTTCTGGTGAAGAAGTACAGCCAAAAGGGACTGAGACAATAGTTACAGTCACATTATTTCATCAGATTCAGTTTTGGCAAATATTTTCTATCGACCATCTGGAGGACTGGCCAGATACTGTTTTCAGTAACAAACATATTATTATGTGGGTTCCGCTCTTGATTCTTTCGCCCAACATTATTACAGTTCCAGACCGCAGGAAATTCCGGTTCAATCGTTAAATGAATACTTATTTCCACTACGATGATCACCTGGCATTTATTATCATTTTTGGAGGAAGAATTTATTTCAATGTAATTGATAACCATTAATATGCTTTCATCTGAGAACACAAAAAGCGAAAGTGCCAAATATTTCTCAACATAATTAGCGTACGTGGCCTGCAGCTCGTCTCGACCAGAAATAATTTCTTCGATAGCGGAGAAAGCCCAACTCAAACATACCGTGAAGTGTTGACCTTGAGTTGTTTCTCTCGTAAGTGAACCGTTCTCGGTCATCGTCATCTTCAAATGATATTCCTGGAAGTCATGAGAGCAGAAATTGAGGAAAAAGACTGACTCAATTTCTGCCTCTATAATATTAGACAATGGAAGTTTAAACTTCCATTGTCTAATATTATATAAAATGATTTATAACGATTTTCCTTGATCTATTCTATGTAATTCAAATATTGCAGATTTGAGAATTTCGTATTATTTTTTATAAAAAATCTAGAGCTTTGACATTGATAAATGTTAGTCCAACAGTGTGTTAAACAGAGGTTAAAAATATTCTCTTCATTTTTTAAATTTTCTTGAACAAAAGTCCAGTATGATGCCAAACGGAAAGTTTATTTATTAATAGAAACAGAAGCTAAGTTCCAAAGTATCCTTCAAATTTCTGCGTACAATACAAATTATACAACCGGTAGAGGGCACACTATGTTTATGTTTTCAAAAACAGTTTCTAATACTGATTATACTTCTGGGTGAATGCACTTCAGTAATAATATTGATTTTATACCGTTGCTAATGAATTGTGAATTATTTGTTTTATGGTATTTCGATTTTCCCAAATTCAAAGGGGCTATTCAAAAAATATTCTAATAGTACGCCAGTGTTACTTTATTCGCAGTCTGATCAACACCCTGAAAAAAAGTCGCAATAAAAATGAATGATATTGTTTGTCTAACTAATGCAGTTATACATCCTCAATGTAAGATTTTTTCTTGTTAATTTCTTCAGAGTAAGGATATAAATGTTATAGTTGATTGTACGAAGTCTGTTCAAAAAATAAGGTGAAACCGTCGCATGAGCGTTGTTCAGGAATTGTAGAACGTCAACGGCGATTCAGATTTGCTAAAAAGAGCCGTAACTGATGATAAATCATAGGTATATGGTTATGACATCGCAACGAAAGTTTAATCGTCACAATGGAAGAGCCGAGGAGAGCCAAGACCAAAAATAGCACGCCAAATTCGATTCCCAAGGTTTTGCTCACTGTTTTCTTCGATTACCGTGGCGTAGTGCATCAGGATTTTTTGCCATATGGTCGTACAATCAATAAGGAGTATTATTTTGAAGTGTTGCGCCGCTCGCGAAAAGCAATACAAAGAAAACGTCAGGTATTGTGGAAAAACAGTTCACGGTTTTTGCATCACGATAATGCACCTGTTCACTCGTCATTGCTTGTTCGTAATTTTTTGGCCGAAAACAACTTCGTTACCATCCCTCAGCCACCGTATTCTCCAGATTTGCCGCACTGCGACTTTTTCGTGTTCTCAACATTGAAAAAATCCATGAAAACCGGCGTTTTGCGACGATTGAGAAGGTGAACTCTGAATCGTTTAGAGTGCTCAAGGAAATTCCAAAAAGTGTATGTCAAGCTGGTACTAGTGTATTACATCTGAGAAGGACTACTTTGAAGAAGACATACGTTTCGAAGTTATTCAACAAATTTATGTAAACTGGAACTGTTAACAATAAAAAGCATAACCGTTAAGGATTTGTCAACGATGAAGCTATTTGTACTGCAGTTTTAGGGCACGCTGGACTAATGGAAAATTCGCAATCTCTCACTGAGTTATCTCGAGAATCAGGAATCAGTCGTACCAATGTTTTCAGGATCCTTCATCAGTACAAATTTCATCCACATAAGATTAGACTAGTTCATTAATTGAACGAAGGTGATTTCGATAGACATATCGATTTTTGTGAAAGTCTCAAAGCGGCAATGGAAGCTCCTTTATACCATTGTATGAAAGTTGCTGGAAACGTTTTTGAACATTTACTATAGAAAATTAATTTCTTCTTATTGTCCAGTCATCAGATTTTGATTAAAGAATTAATAAAAAATCTCTTTTTCTGATTTATTACTTTCATATTTGTCTCTATACCGAATATTTCAAAATGTGGCCTCCTGTATAATTGTTGACCTGTTTTTTTATTTTTCCTGCAAATCACTGTTTCAAAAGATATTCAGGGTGGCCCGTTTTCAGCTGAAATTATTTTTAAGCTTCAGACCATATGTTTTATACTTTGTTGAAATCTGGTTATCATACAGCATCTGCGAAATATAGGGTGGTCCATTTAAAAAAAATTGGTGACTTGCTCTGGGGGTGCGATAGGGGAAGTAATATCAAATGTGAATATGTCAAAATGTGTCGCCCTGTATACTTTTGTTGAGGTGTTTTTTTATTTTTCCTGTAAATCATTGTACCAGAAGCTATTCAGGGTGGTTTTAAATGGAATGCACTGTATATCTCTTTCCGTATGAGAAATTTCCCAGTGAAACATAGAAAGAAAATTAAGTATATGAACTGATTTATCTTTTGATCTAATATTCAGTTTGTATGCAAGCTAACTGGTATTCAAGTGACACTGAATTTTTAACAAAACCGCAACACGTTTTTGGCTGTATAATGGCATCCTTAGACGTGTTCTTGTACACTGTGATGTTTAATTAGGCAGTAACTTTTTGGGGTGAACTCTTCAATTTAGCCGTCACAGTTCATCATTTTCTCTAATGATTTAGTTATCATTCTGAACAAATCAAATATTTTCATCTCACAGTTCGTCACGTTTCGACCTCCAATCTTCAGTAATCATCACACCCGCTTTGTGTCCAATCATCATGATCGGGGCTTGAGTATTCCCGCTGACTATTTTTGGCATTATGCTCCCATCCACTACCCTCAAATTTTTTATTCCGTGCACCTTCAACCTGCTATCGACCACCGAGGAATTGTCGTTTAAGGGACCCATTTTGCACGTACCGGCCTGATGATACAATGTCGTGGAGAGGTGCCTCAAAGCACATTTCCAGTACTCGTCTGAGCGGAATTGAAAAACGTCGCATGCTGGAAGGTTGGCTCGCAGAATTTTGGGATCGTGTTTTTTGAAAGGGTCTGATTCAACGACTTTTTCAGCGAATCTGTAATAAGAATATAAACGATCAATAATAATTCACACGAAGATAATGAATATGTTTCCGATCTTTATGCAACAGAATCTAATTTGTGAAATTATTTTTATGCAGTTGGGAAAATATTTGTCCCCACTGTTGTCCTTTCAATCAACGAGCCACTAAGCCTTCTGTGTCATAATGAACGCAAAGTACTGGGCTATGCAGATTGCCTAGTCATCCTAGTCCTAGCCAAATATATTAGGTTGTTCCGTTTTTTTTTTGTTTGTTTTTATATTTGGTCGATTTTCTCACACTGTGATGGTTTGACCAGGTTGCCCGCTGACCACTATACAGTTAACCTTGGTCTTTTTTTGGTGGGAATCAAATGCGCCAAGTCACTTGAACACCTCCCGTGAAAGTAAGAATTAGTCACTCCATTTTACTAAAGAAAATAGCTCAAATGGGTTCAAATTTCTCACTAACTCAACTTCTACGCTCTTATTTGGATCAGAGAACCAATGTTGTTCTTATAATGGATTTGAGTCTGCACCATCCTTATCACCATTCGGTGTGCCACAAGACTACAATCTGGGGCCCCTGGTTTCGTGTGGCAACTCACTTTTTGCAGAAGACTTGAAGATCTTTTCATCTATCACAAGTTTACAGAGCCGCTCTTATCTCCAGTCTCAATTAGACCTGTTAGATAACTGGTGTCAAATCAATAAATTGGCAATGGATGGTTACCGCCTTAACCATACTTTATACATATCTCGTTCGCTCCAAGTTAGAGTATGTATGTTTTCAGAGGCTAAAGGTCACATCTTGAATATCTTCCAAGTACTCATTGATTGAGTAAAAACTGGTTTTTTTGTGAAAACTGATGTTGTCAGAGTTTCTAGTGTTATGATGTTGTAGTGAGAGGTTGGACGATGATTTGTGTATTTCAAGGAGTGAATTGTAAATGTATAGGGACGAAAGAGTCATGATTCTGAGTTTGATGAGTAAAAGTTTACACTTATTTCTATACCCTAGATTACCTAATATTCTCATTGCCTTTTTTTGTTGAATAAAAATAACATTAGCAGCCGAGGATTTTCCCCACAATAAAATGGCGTAACCCATATGAGACTGAAACAGTGAGAAATAAACTGTTCTCTAAGTTTCGTAGTTTGAAATATGCCTGAAATGTCGCAGAAGAAATAATAAGCTCGACAGTTCATGTTTCAATTGATCTATATGAGCATTCCAATTCAGTTTAGAATCTAAAGTAACACCAAGTAGCTTCGTATTCTGGTCTTGTTGTTTACACTGACGGGTCGTTACAAGTAACCTCTGAGACTTGTCATCATTTAGTTTCAGATTGTGGGCTCTAAACCATGTTCCAACTTTTTCTTCAACTTGTTTAGATCGATCTAATAAAACGTGGTTTTCTGGACTTGAACATATAAATGACGTATCATCGACGAAAAGAACACATTTGAAGGGAGTTATGAAGTTGCTCAGCTCATTAACGGAAATAATAAATAAAAGTGGCCCCAGGACAGATCCTTGGGGTACACCATGATTCATTTCCTTAAAATCCGATGTACTATTATTGAAACTAACTGCCTGAAATCGATTTTTCAGGTAGGATTCAAAAAGTGAAAATGCAACTCCACTTATTCCATGAGAATATAGTTTTTTCAGTAGGATGTCATGATTGACACCGCATTATTATATATTGTCCTGTAAATAGATTCATCTGTTGTGCAATAAATTTTGTTTCTTTTTTTTTCTTTTTTTTTTGTACTATAAAGGGTTTTACAAAAACTGCGACACGTGTTTCGCTATACAATAGTTTTCTTAAGCGTGAACTCTTACGATTGACAAAACTATTGTATAGCGAAACACGTGTCGCGGTTTTCGTTAAACCTTGTGTAGTTAAAATCATACAATAAACTGTATTGAATAGTTCTAACTCCTCACCTAATCATTTTTCTTTCATTTTCAAGACAATTAATATTAAATAGAATTCTCGTATTTCATTGAACTAGGAAATGATAACTTTTTCAGAAATGTATGAAGTTTGTATTTCAATTGAATTTAGTCTCAGCTCAATCAGATATGTGTATAAAATATCGTTTAAAAATGATTGTAGTATCAAAAAAAATTGTATTTTCCATCCGAATTACTGATGCACGATGGTTCTGTAACATGTGTAGATCCTTAAAGGTCAATATTTCACCAACCGAAACGTTGAACTGGTAATCCACCTAACAGTCCTGATTTGGCACCCAATGATTTCAAATTGATCATGTATGCATTTGGTGTGATTAGGTAAATCAACGTTGAGAAATGGAAATCTGATTCGTAAATATATACATTATAAATCGAGTTTGACATATACGACTCACCTTATTCCACCTAACAACACATTTATATCTTCATCCCCTATGTCAGTGAAATATCCTGATCTGATCATGGGTTTTTCGAAAGGATCATTGGTTCTCAAGTAGATCTCACCATTTGATTTTGGGTTGAGAAGAGTAGGAATGAATTCTAGTGTTGGATATTTTTTATTAAAATCCTGTTTTCTTTGAGTAACTTCATCCCTGAAACCCATAGCTTCACCTAGCAATGGTAACAAGTAACGGTCATCAGGCACATAAATTATGTGGTGGAACTGAATGTCTGGATATATTGAATCATTTTTTGTGTTTATAAATCCCACTAAGTTAGTTATTGAGATTCGTGCTAAGTCTCCTGATCTGTTCAGGAAATATTTGTAAATATCATCAATCTGGTGCAGAGAATGTTTCAATTTAAGTGCATTGTTGTTCAATTCCACTGTAAAACCCATAAATATCATATGATCTTGAAGATTCTTTCCCACAGGCAAATCTTCAATAACATCGACACCCAGCTCTTCTAGGTGGTGCTTGGGGCCTATACCTGAGAGCATGAGGAGTTGCGGGGAGTTTATAGAACCTGCAGACACTATTATTTCTTTTTTTGCATACAGTTTCAACATTCTGTTTTCTATCACAACTTCAACTCCCGTTGCGATTCGAGACTTTTTATCAATGATAATTTTTTTGGTAAACGATTGAAGCGCCACCAAAAGATTTCTTCTATATTTAACAGATGCTAAGAACGCTTTCGCTGAATTGACTCGAACCCCTCCCGCTATAGTATTCATAGCTTCCATATATCCCAGCGGATTCAAGGGATTTTCTTCTAGAAGGCTGGGGTAGTTCAGCAATTGTCCGGCCTCTTTTATTGTTTTCGCTATCGGTTCATCTGGAAGAAACTAGTTATCAAAAATGTTATGATTTGAAAGTATTTCATGTATGCTGCAATACATAATAATCAAAATAAAATCATTGAATTTATGTATCCTCGATTCTAACAACTGGGAACCAAGATTTAGAAATAGACGAAATTTATTTGATTATTTCCTGAAAACCGATGAGATGAAAAAATAAATAAAAGGCTAGGTGACCTGAACAGAGTTTCATAGCGATTATTTCCTTCAGGTCGATGAAATGACGAAAAAATGGAAGCCTACGTCAATTGGGGTGACTTTGTCCTCTGTGGTATCTTTGCCCAGTTTTGAAAAAACAGTTTCGCGCCTCCATAGTAAATAGCTGAAAGGTCGTTTGAGGCGCCGCAGTCAATGAAACATACCTCCTCAATGACTACGAGATATTCTAACCTTCTTATCTTCATTCTAGATATTTTTGTAAAAGGTTTGGATTACTAAGATATTGAATGACAAAGATAATACTTTAAATGTCAAGAAATATTCACGTGACCGAGTTTTCTCAATTGAAACACATGTCACATTGAGTTTCTTAATCTCAATGTTGAACTTTCTTTACTGTATTTCCAGATATTTATAATTTGGAACTACCTTAAACATTTGCTGCACAGAAAGAACCAGAAACATTTACATAGATTCTTCAAGATCTGAATAATATATAATCATAATCAAAATCATTTCTATCATTTGACTACAATACCGATTCATTATTTCCAATCAATTATAGTGTTGCTTGAGGAACTAAATATTACAAAAGTAAATCCATACAGTGTAAAAACAAAACTTGCATTTGCTGTAATAACCCAAATTGAGGAACATTCCCCATTGTCGCTGTTATATTCAGAATATCAAGGTTTCAGCATAGCTGTGGGTCGTGAAATTGTCACTATACTTTTTAAAATAAAATATAAAGACAACCACTACTACTACGCTATTGAAGTGATGAAATGAACTCACCAATTCGATGTGAAAAAACCTGAAAAAGACGATTGAACTTTTCCTGACAGCTGGGTGGGTGTGTACTATAAAGTTGCACTTGTGGGAAAGTATACATCGGAACCACCATAAGATCCATGGAAACAAGGTTGAAGAATAATTATGACAGTCATAATGATCTCCTCAAAAAAATTATCTAATTTATAGTAAGTCTTTTTGACCAAAATTGCTTGTATCCTAAAATATAGTAGCGTGAGAGATTCTGTTGAACTTTTAGATAACTTGTACATTTCCACTTCATCATAGATAATTGAGTTCTTGATTTGGCCACTTGGGATACGAACTTTCAATTAACAAACCTGTCTAGTATTGTGGTGAGGCTGAGAGGTAAAGGTACCTTTGTTCCTATGTATAAGGCATGTTGATTCAAGAACGAGCAATGAAATCACAGTCAAAATTCCATTCATTATAAACAGTGGCTTGCATGGATTATTTCACTCTGCTCAACAGAGATACCGTACCGCACTTTTTTGTAATATGAAAACAGAGTGAAAAACTGTTTACTGCATACACCCCCAAAATGCTATGCCATACCTTAGGTCTATGAGGACATAATGAACATTTTTTGCTGCGTGATATCCTAGTTCTTTTGATACTATTCCAACTGCAAAGGACTTGGAAGAAAGTTTCTTATTTATATTGTTATATGCTCCTCGAATTTCAGACACTCATCGATATTAATTCACAAGAATTTTAAAGAGATCTTATTTTCCAGTAGTCTGGACAAAATAAACCAACTTGTGATATTTATTTGTGAAGTTCAACTGTGAAACATATTATAGTGCAATGCCCTCTATTCCAAACTGAGAGAGACACATTCAACATATCCCCTAACTTGAAAGAAATGTTAGACTATAGTAATAGTAACAAAATCATTCCATTTTTACATACTTTAGATTCAATTAGGCAGTTATAAATGTTATTTATCAACTCCACCGCTAATGACCCAAAGGGTTGATACGGTTTATTGAAATAAAAAAAAATAGCTTGTTTATATAATCTATCAAACTTTTGAATTTTGTGGTGAAATCATTCGAGAGTCAAATACCTAGTTTTTTTTAGTAAACAGTTCTCCTTATCTATCAATCTGAAATTATAATCATTGATTCGGTTTTGAGCTTCAGGGGATCAATCAATCAATCAAAATATACTTTATTGTCCAAGAATAACAATTCTCATGAGAATGCATACAGTCACCATGATAATATCGCAAATATACAGTTAGCAAGGAAATCATAAATACACATGAATTCACACTTACAATAATCGGACATAATTACATATACAAAAGCAACAAGATTTACACCACTAAGCCAAATAACATTGAACAACAAAACTACGATGTGCCAATTAAATGAATAAAGTAACATGCCGGAAAAACAAAAAGAAAAAATTTTTACATTTTGTACATGAAATTACAAGGACTACCTCTAAATATATGAAGAAATAGGCATACGTTATATGACGGCCTCCAAAGATAGAGATCTCAGCAAAAAGAATCCTGAAGAGTATAGTAGGCCCTCCCAACTATGAGCGTTTTTACAGCTTTTCTGAACTTGACTTCGCTTTTGATGACACGCAAGGTTAGGGGAAGGTGATTGAAGATTTTCTTGCCCTCAAAAATTAGAGAGTTGCGAGTTAAGGTTGAGGAGGGATTTGGAAGCGAGATCAAGTGAGAGGAGCGAGTGTTATAGGTTGACTCAGAAGTAATTATATCTTGGTATTTCTTGTGCATGAGGCAAGCCATTTCCAAAATGTAGATACAAACCAATGTCAGAACTCCATGTTGCATAAACAAGGGACGACAGGATTCACGGTAATCAGAACTACATAGGTATCTAATTGCCCTTTTTTGGAGAGAGAATACTCTTTGAAATAAATACTGAGCACAAGCGCCCTAGAAGCAGATTCAATTACGAAGATGAGATTCTATTAGTGCGTAGTATACGTTATTCGCTATACCCAAATTCAACTCATTAGCAACGAGACGAATCGCAAAGCAACCTGAAGCTAATCGATTGCTTAGTTTTGTAATATGGTTACCAAACTTCAATTTATTATCAATCAGAAGTCCCAGACAAATATCTTTCAAAAAGATGATGAACTGTTCTTGTTAAGCTTCTTCTTTCTCTAACCTGAAGCTGGACAAATGGCCGAACAAATGAAATCAAACGAACATATGACATAGTTCAAAATTGGTTCATAGAAAATGGAAACGGTATCCCTATCCTTCTTTAAAAAATCATATCCTATCCAGATTATGCCTATCACCTTATGCCAAAAATTCTATATGTGAAACCACTTATATACCCCACCATACAAAAAAAAAGGCAAAAAAAGTGGCAGAAAATAAAACCACCAAGGGGAAAAAAAGAAGAAGGAAACAAGAATAGTGGCCGGAAGCAACGGCCAACGAAACAGAAAGAGAGACAGATGTGATAAACAAAAGGGAGAAATAGAGTATTATGACATGAAATTTGCTATTGTATAGCGAAACACGTGTGGCGGTTTTGTCAACTTTCCAGTGAAAATCTCACATCAAAGTGTGTTTTTTTGATACGTTACACTGGATTTTCATCAAGTATCAGTTATTTCTATCATATTTTCCGAACTCTCTATTGTGTGTTCATTATGTTTGTTTTCGTAGAGTCAATTTTCGTTTTCAAACTAATATCTCATTATGAACTTTAATATTATGCATAATTATTGGAAATATGTAATTGTACAATTTACTGAATATGAATAGTTTAGAGTTCTGTTTCTGTGTCATTAAATATAATAACACAATGTTACTAAATATGTTGTTGTTGAGGAAACTGGAAATGGTACAATTTTTTTTCGATGTTAATAATTTAATCTAAGTCATGAAATGTGAACAGATTCATTCGGTGACGTTTATCTTCAAGAAATCTGTAATTTCAACTTCCGCATTCAATACAAATATTTCTAGAAGTCTCAGTCAAATATCAGAATTCAAATCGCATTCAACACAAATTATTTGAGAACTTTCTTGCGTTCAAATGATGAAATTTGGAAGTTCAATTATGTAAATTCTAAGGAACAGTTTTTATTTCAGCTTGTTAATGGGCTTGTTTCATGATTTTTAGTTTATAGTTCACTTGATAGAAATTTCAAATTGAAAAACAGTGCACTTTTTTTCAGCTTAAGTGCTTCAGCGTAATTAATTATTAAAAATCGAATGTGGTAGGGTGGTGACGTCACGCCCCTGTTCCCCCTTCTTGTTTGATTGACCAATAGGAACAATAGAAATAATCAACATTGCCAAATCGTAAAATTTACGAAGCCTATAATTATCAATTTAATTATGGAAGTGTATATTAACCCGTTAACGTTTCAATTAATGAAAGATTTCCACATGGAATAAAATGTACACGAAAAATCATGTTTGAAAATAAGTTCTATATCTAAAATCAGTACACAAAGTCGAAAGATCACAAAATATTTACCTAATTTATGATTAGGTACAGATACATTTTTAATGCGGAATAAATCAATAAATTGTGATATGGGTTCTCCATTTTCTTGAGAAAATGAACGATCAATTAGAATTTCCTGTAATTATTCATTAATTTTTGTTAGGAATGAAGCCCGCAAACAAATAAATATACAATAATAAGATCTCTCGAATCCTCGAATCAAATATAAAAATGGATAATAATATTTGCCTTGAAAATTGATTTAGTACAAGTTATATATAAATATGATTTTATATAGAACTTAACGAGCTGAATTTTCAAATGGTTTTCGAATGTTCATGATCCCTGATAAAATAAATCAATTTTGTACTCATGCCACCCACCAAAAATGAAAAATACAACGTTACCGGTATATGAGCCATATTGTCAGCCAGCGCCCTCTGTAGTGTATGCGACAATGTTCTCTTTCTAATGTCAATGGTTACTACACATAACTTCGTATTTTTGTTAAAATAATTACAAAATGTTGAGTCTAGTTTTGTTAAAGCTGACTCCAAAAACTTACCAAGAGTCGATTTTTAAATGATCGATAATTTCACTTAAAAAATTTGCAATACTTTGGAACAGAAATGAAGAATGCAAAATTGTATATCAATAAGTGGTATATTTAGTAGGTCCCTTTTATTTATATGACTTTCATTTCACACTTTTTATTTATTCGAAGGATGGAAAATTTTGATTTGAGCTCGGCCAAGGTAGTAATGGTAAAATTCAATCCAAAAATAACCTGAAAAAATATTGTTTGGAATGTAAACTAATGACACTTGATATGCAGCAAAATAGGCCCCCGCTGAGACCTACCTTTCACAAAAACAGCGTTCTTTATTAGATAATTGTAACAGTTGTTTTCACATCGAGTTGACAACAATAACAACAAAAATGGCGTCTGTCAAATTGGATCATCAGATCTGTGATTTGATATTAAAAACCAATACACTTCGCAACTCCGCTCTAGACACTAACAATTTTATTGGTCAACAGACACGCGGCCAATTTAAATTCTTGCTTTTCGAATTGTTTTTTTTTTCTGCAAATATAAAGAGATCATGGGACCGATTAGGCTTGATAAGTATAAAATACCCCTAACTCGATCAGTCTGTAAGCAAACCAGTATCATTTTCCATAGCATGAAACAAGCCTATTCCTATAATTTTATTTTCGTATTATCTTCTGTTATGAAAATAGCCTTATTTTATTTTCGTTCGATCTAGCTCAAAAAATAAATTTTCACTTTCGTTCCATTCAATTGTTTTTTAGATAGATGTATGAAATGGCAACATTTTGTCGACAACGACACTAGAACTACAAGAATATCATACCCACATTGAAAAAAATTAACTCTATGAAATTACAAAAAATTAAATAAGGTGATTCATCCTACTTACTTGAAAAGTGGTTTGGAACTTCAACAGACCTATGTTACACACCTCCAACTCCTAATCTACAACGAATTTTTAATGGTATAGGCAAGACGATAGCGAGTTAAATGGTTGTACCTTATTATCATATATCTTTACTGATAATATAAATGTTAAGTTTGTGAAGATGGGTAAATGTGTGTATGTATGTTTGTGGCTCGTTCACACCTAAACGTCTGAACGGAATTAGATGAAACTTTACATAAATGCAGCTTATACATCAGAATAACATATAGATTATATTCCTGTGTAATTTTGGTCATAATATATAACGATGTCTATATCGTTGGAGTTACATGCAAATAATGTACCGTAAGATTGTTTATCATAAATTGTTCTGAATGTCTTTTCCAGCATCCTAATAGATATTTGAACAATTTTTTTTATGTATTACTTTCTTTTTGTTTTAGCTTAGGTAGAATCTTTTTGAGGTTGGGTGGAAGAACAACTCAGTAGCACGTGTGCAAACTGAGTTGAACTTCGCCTTTTGTTTGTGTCAGCAACTAGCTCTGTAATTTATTTATATATTTGTATTGTAAGTACAGCTGGGAAACAATAAAGACGATTATTATTATTATTATTATTATTATGAACTTGTTGACCAGAGTATTAGTACCGAGAATAAAAATAAGATTGTTATTTGCGAGCTGTGCATTGAGAATATATTAATATAACTGCAAGAGTTCTATGACACTCCTTATGGAAAAACACGTGCAAATTTGAGCAGGTTCGTTCTGGATCTTTTTGGACCTAAGGCCCACTTCACACGGAAGGGACAAAGGTCAGCGCCTCGTCTCTGTCAGACGTCCATTATGTGTGAACTGAGCCTTAGCCTCCAAAGCCCACTCCAGACCACCTCCACTCCTCCACTTTCACCGTTATTGAGTCGACCAATCAGAAGCTACCGCGCGTACAGCAGGAAATTCAAATTCAGTAGATGAACAAGACGGGTACGAGAGCAAAATCCCATGTATTTTCTTATGGAGCTGAACTTTTTGCAATTTTTAGGTCAAACGAATGTGTTGGTAGAGAAACGTGTGACGTAATCGATGCAGGTTGGAATGAGTATCGGAGAGATTCAAAGAGCGTGAGCCCCCTTAGTACTCCGCCCCACCGCTCGGGCCCCCTTGCAACACCGCCCCACCGCTCGGACCCCCTTGCGACTACGCAAGTTTATAGGTATGAAAATCGAACCCAGGTCGTCACCGTGGTAGACGTTGTCCTTAGCCTCGACACCAACTTAAGATATTGGATGTAATTGCGAATTGTATTTATAGCGGTTCTTTTGTCGGGACTGAAATTGACTCATTTCATGTACTTGATTACTTTCTCTTGACTTTTCTTGCCTTACTTATCCCTTTTATCTTGACCAAGATAACCCAATCGTTTCTCTTGTCGAGGCAGAGTTTCTCAATAGAAAAATTTTCAAATACGGACCTGTATTTTTTGTTATAATTTTTAGATCGTAGACATTCACTTCATACTGAGAAATTAAATTGAATAAAATACGCAACTTTGCCATAATTTAACTGACACTATCTCTTATCGTTTACGATATCCCAAAGTATAGAAACGAATTTGAATAGCCCTGTATAATAATACTTGTATGTCATTAACTCATTTTTATATTTTATTTGAAATAGTAATTAACAGTTATATTTGAACAATTATCTTCCATGTCATCAATTTTTAATTTTCGAAGACCATCATAAAATAAGGCCAGTAGCTGAAGCAGCCTGAAATCAAAACTAAACATTCATTTTTTGATAACAATTTGAAAATTTTCAATTCTTACTTTCATCAGCAAATACTTTTCATCAGGTGCATCTTTCGAAAATTGTTGAATTTGTTCAGAAGTTATTGTTTTTGACTGTTTTGGAGCATATTTTTCAGATTTGCGTTTTAAAAATGAACGTAGTTTCACGTATTTTGATATATCAACACAGTTTTAAATAATAAAGGTATTCCTCAGCATCGAGTACTGAGACCATAATGTTGTTGATTTCAATCTTCTTGACAACCCTTCAAAATAAACTAACAAGGCATTTTCGGAACAAGAATTTACCATGGCTTTCATTTTCAGTCCATGAAGTTTCTGTAAACGATTTCATATTTTTCTCTCGTTGTGCTTTCTGAAGGTGTATTTTCCAACTCTAAATCTTCGTATTCCATTATATTCAATAGGTATTTAATGAATCTGAACTGTTTATACTATAACAATCAACAATAAAACTATTTTCGTTGGGTAAGTTGACAGCAATAATTATGCAGTGCTTCGGTTTTGTTGTTATGGAAACGCCGACAATGGGCTACTTGGATATTGCACGCAAATCGTCGGCGTAGCGTTGTCAACATGGAGAACGTGTCATATCAATCTGACATGTAACAATTCATGTGATGACAGTGAGAAATTATTTCTCACTGTAATGGCGGATATTTCTAACTACGTGAGAAATCTTCCGTTCTGAACGTATGAAAGCGATGAGAGAAGTGGCACATTGTATAGAATCCATAGCAAAAATTATTAATTTGTTTATTCAATGATTTATAGTGAATGGGGCATGAAAATACGTATGTATTCATTCATTCATATTGATTAATAGCCTAATCTTGAACAATTCATAACAAGAATCAATCTAGAAAATCTGTAGGAATTTCAAAAATAACTCTTGCATATTTAGATATTTACTTCCATATGTTCTCCCAACAAATTTGCAAAAACAATTGCTACTAGCATAATTAAATAATATTGCCTACTAGTTTATGAAATGTAATTCTTCAGTTTGGATCTACAACTATTGATTTTTGTTTTCAACAACACATTTCAAAAAGTTTCTACTTCCAGTCCTCAACAATCATAACACCTCCCTTATGTCCGATCATCATGGACGCAGCATTGGTATTCCCGCTGACTATATTCGGCATTATACTGGCGTCTACCACCCTTAAATTTTTCAATCCATGCACCATCAGCCTGCTATTCACCACATAATCATTTATTTTAACAAAAATAATATTTAATTAAAACATATCCTGCGGGGATTTTTTGCAAAACTTTCAACCACTTCATCATTAAAATTATTCAGATTTTTATTTATTATAGCTCTGTATACACTCATCATGGCCAGACCATGAAGGCGATCATGGTGTTTCTTAGCCATGTTTTCAGTCTTCTGAGGCTGCTAAAGAATCGCTCTACTGTACAGGTCGTGCATGGTAAAGCGATCAAAATTTTCAACGGTTTTTTCGTTTCGGAAAAGAAGGAATTTGTATCTTTTAGGACATCAACAACTGTAAGATTTGTTAGATTGAGCCTATCGTGCCACAATTGCTGCCAAAGTTCGATTTCATTCTTCATGTTCGGTAATTCATAAAACTGGGCAATAGGTTCACAAGCCGGTAGTCTTATAATCGCTTTCCAATTCGCTTGTTTAGCTTGTTTCGTTGATCGCTTCCAATTAAAAGTGACTCGCTCACTTTGGCTTCAGGAGAGAACACTGCACTGAGTTACAGGCTCTAAGGCTGGTCGAAAACACCATCCACGAGTTGAACACTAATAAAAAAGTGCACATTGTACTGTTAGACATCTCGAAGGCCTTCGACCGTGTATGGCACGAAAGCCTTATGCACAAATTAATCGCGTTAGATCTGCCTCGGGGCCTGATCCGGTGGATTGGGTCTTTCCTGAGAGACAGAACATTTCAGGTTAGAGTAGAGGGCTCTCTGTCTGACAACAGAGAGAGCCACAGGAGGCCGTGCTCTCTCCGACGTTGTACTCACTTTACACCAGTGACCTTCCGAGGCCCGAGCGTGTGAAGATATCCCTATACGCCGATGACACGGCTCTCCTCTCGTCTTCAATGGGTCGGGAACTCGGCATCGTCTACATGCAACGTGCATTGAACGACTTCGATTGGAAGATCCGAGTGAACCCGAACAAGACTCGGGCGATAACCATGGGAAAAATGCTATATTCTCCGGCCAGAAAAAAGAGAATCTCTGGAAGGGAGACTGACTGGCAAGCGCGGGTAAAGTACCTCGGCCTTCTAATAGACCGTAGGCTCACTTGGAACCCGCACATTATGTGCGTTAAGTCAAAGATCGAGGGTCGGATAACTAGTCTGTACCCTCTGATCAACAGAAAATCAAAAATGAGTCTAAAGAACAAAATACTATCTAGCCTGTTCAAGACTGTCATCATGTATGCTTCAGGCGTCTGGGGACAAGCGGCTACGTATAATATCTCCATTCTGGAGAGATTGCAAAATAAGTGGATGAAGATGATTGTGAATGCTCCTTGGTTCGTGCGGAATGAAACCATCCGCAGAGATTTGCAGCTGTCTTTCATTTGACAGTCCATTTAGTCGAGAAATCGGCGAGTTTTTGATAGCACGGAAACTCACGAAAATCCTATAGCTATAGATTATGCTGTAGATGACCCCTCTCGATATAGAGGCCCTCATGTCCCCCGTTAACGGACGAGTAGACTTTTCATCCATCCCACTCCAGCCAGGTAGGGGTACCCCATGAAGGGCGGTACTGATGTCTGAGGACTTCATACCACCAACATCCCCTCAGACAAATATCAGCTGAAAGGGTAAGGGAGCTGGGCTCCAACCTGATTGAATTGAAGACGATTGGTCAGTGACTCGCTCACAGCGACTCACGTCTTCATATACCTTAATGAACATCATACTAGAATATACGGTAATATTCTACCTGGTCTAGAAACTGCTACCAAATTCCAGAGCGTTCATTGAACAAGCGCCATCTAGCGTCGAGTAGCAATAATAGATTTTACAAGGATTGTAGTCGATTTATTCAACTGTAGGCTATAGGTGTTTCTTATAAACATTTACACTTATAGATGGCATTGTCCACAAAACCAATTAAAATTGTATGTTCGTAACAGTAACTTCTTCTTTAGGTATGCCGCATACAAAGTATACAAAACTAACGTGAATGCTGGTGAACGGTTGTCGTAGAAAGAAATACAATGTACACAACACACACACACCATACCTACCTCCTACCTACATATTTTTACACTATTTAATGGCAAATCTGATATAGTCTTGATGATATGGCGGCGATTTTAAAAACGGATGTCAAAATCTTAATGTTATTCTGAATATTCCAGTACTTTCTACAATATACATTAAACCTTGTGAATTTATTTACGTTTTGTCATGCGATGCGGAATTTATTAATAGGTAAGGAAGTCGATTTCTCGCACTTTGGTCGCTTTGGGGCTAGGTACATTTGATCTCCAACTAACGGGAGGCAGGGGGGGGCGTTTGCTTTTCTTGCCCTCGTTGGCAACGCTCTTGTCTACCGCAGTTCTAGAAGAAATTTGAGTCATAAAGTCTGCATACTACACAGCAAAAATCGCTTTAGAGTAATAATTTCAAAGTCGACTTTTAAAATAGAGGTACCCTTAATTAATTTAGACAGTCGGATCTCTCTAATTTCACTATTTCATAAAACTGAGCCTGGTTCTCCAGTAAGACTATTTTTTGATTTGTTGTAAAATTCCGGAATAGATTGAAAATTCACTCTACGGAATTGAAAAACACATTTACTGTAAAATCCAGTTTGTGGCACATGTTCTTAGTGTAAAATTATTTGACTGCTCATGCGTGACAGTGAACAATGCCAGACTACGCCGATCGCGTTATTTATCTTTTGTGTTTGTGATTGTCGCGCAATTAGCAAATATATGTTTGCTAATTGCACGGCAATTGCGAACCGATATATTGGCCATTATAGTATTTCTTTACACAAATACTACATTGGCTAAAAAGTATCGGGACTAACACATAGATGGCACTAGTATTACTGTATTCACCGCTTCAAAAGAAACCTGTTACAATTTCATGTTATTCTACTCATAAGTTTGTCATTATGCTAAGAGTGAAACTACTTTTGTTATTTTCAAAACAATGAATCAAAAACAATTTCGTGTTTCAATTTTACGCTGTTTCTTGATGTCGAAAAATGCCGTTCAAGCAAAGCAATGGCTTGAAAAGTGTTATAAGGATTCGGCTCCATCAGAAACAACAATTAAATGGCGGTTTGCTGACTTCGAACGTGGTCGTAGAGAAAACATTAAAAAATCCACAAAATCGCTTTAAATGATCGGAAAGTGAAGATGCATGAGTTAGCTGACATTGTAAAGTTATCAAAAGAACGTGTTGGCTTTATATTGCATAAGCATTTGACTATGAGAAAACTCTGTTCCAAGGGGGTGCCACGCGAGCTCATTGTTAACTAAAAACAAGAACGTCATGATGATTCTTAGCAGTGTTTGGCCATGTTTAACATGACAAATCGGAATTTTTGCGTCGATGTATGACAATGGATGAAACATGGATCCATCACTTCACTCCGGAATCAAAACAACAAACTTTATCGCTCCTTTACGCTTAACGCGTGTTTCCTAGTGTATCGCCATCCAGGGGACTAGACAGTAACTATTTCCTGTCCGATAGTTGTCAAGCTGTACAATAGATGGCGGTAAGCTTCAATGCAAAGCGAGAAGTTTCTAGTCACCATTCTCGAAAGTACTAGGCCTGGCCGCTGACTCATATAAAAGCGCTAGCGCCATTCAGCCATTCACCCTCCTGAAGAGGCATAAGCCTATAGCAGGGTCCTACACAAACACATACACACATAACAATTGTAAATAACTGTAAAACTTGTAATATACGATTTTCATTCATTCATTCATTCAGCCATTCACCATGAAGAGGCATTAGCCTATAGCAGGGCCTCACACAAAAATACCCAACAAATGAAGTGTAATTAACCAAAAAATTTGAATAAACGATTTTCATTCACTCATTCAGCCAGTGATGTCATTCGACGATATGACGAAAACAAGTGAATTTAGTTAGCGACTAGCTAGGTAAAGTGCTGTACGTGCGGTGATGAATACTGTAAGTGGTGTCATTAGCAAGTTTTTAATAGATTCTTCACTTCGGCATTTTTGAAGACAAATCCTACAAAATCCTACAAATCCATCCAATAAAATGCAAAAGTGTGACTTATTTTCAAGAACTGGAAAAGAAACACCCAACTCAGCCAACTGTGTCAAAACGACACAATATCTCCTTGCTAACTGCTCAAACAGGTAAACCTCTCACTATTGGAGATAATTTAATTTTACCGGAAATAAAAAAGTAATAACTACTGTGCTACATAAACCAGCGGCAGATATTATCTGAAAAATTCCTTTGCGCAATAGTTCCGTGCAAAGACGAATTGATGAGATGGCTGAACACATTGAAGAGCCATTGTGCAATCATCTGAAGACTTCTAAATTCTCAATTCAGTTAGATGAGTCCACTTTACCAACCAATGAAGCATTGTTTCATACGTGAGGTTTATTAAAAATGAGAAAATATATCAAGAACTTCTATTTGCCAGGAATTTAGAGACGGATACAAAAGGTGGAACCATATATAATACACCGAAAAAAATTTGTGATGAGGAAGAAATTCCACTGAAGAATATTATATCAGCTGCTACGTATGGCGCTCCGGATATGACAACTCATCACAAAGGCTTTATAGCGTACTTGAAAAATTAAATTCCAGCTGTGATCAGTGACAGATTATTCAATCAGCTTTGTGTTGCTAATGATGAAGATTTCAACCGATTGCTATTTCACACAGAAGTTCGTTGATTATCGAGAGGTAACTGTCTGAATCGATTTTACAATGTATTTGACTCTGTAATAGAGTTCTTGGAAAACAAAGACAAACAATTGCACGACAACCTCATCACTTCAAAGAATGATATGGCGTACTTGACAGACCTGTGTTATTCCAGGACATTTTCAAATTGGAAGTACTGGACTGGGTGTTGGATCCTTTTTCAAATGTCAACACAGCAGGATCACCCCAGCTGGAAGAAGAACTCATAGAACTGATAACGAACGAGGAAATAAAAATAAAATTCAAAAATGGATACCACGAATTTCGGCTACAAAAGCCAATCCCGCAATTGTACCCTGGATTGTGGTCCATCGTTCAACGAATTTTGATAGCATTCCCATCATCGTATTTGTGTGAACGTAGATATAGTGCTGTGGCAACGTTGCTAACTAAAAGGAGAAATCGGTTGCAGATTACCGCACGCGGTGGTATTTTTGAGTAAATACCAGCCTGATATTAACAAACTTGTTAAAAATTCATCCTTCACATTAGATTAGTTTCAAAATTCAAATTGAAATGTTTGTTTTAATAACATGAATAAAAGTTTTCCTAATATTACAAAATGGTGTTTTACATTACCCTCATCAGAAAGTCTTATTTTCACATGACACACATAATTCAATTATTAAAATAATGGTTGCGATTGTGATTCTTAAGATGTAGTAAAGTGAAAAAAATTGAGGGACGCTAGAAAACAATTAATTCTCGAAGTGGGCTTTAGACAAAATAAGTTTGTGAACCTCTGATTTAGAGTTCTATATCTACCTTATTCCAGTTAAGAGCTCATTCATATCCTCATCTTTCTCATCGGTGAAGTATCCTGTTCGAATGATGGGCGTCTTAAAAGGACTGTCGGACCTTAACAATATTTCGCCCTTGGATATTGGCCTGAGAAGAGTGGGAATAGGTTGAAGTACTGGGTTTTTTTCAGTATATTCGAACATTCTGTTAGTAACATTTTCATTGAAACCCATAGCTGTATAAATTGTTCGTAAAATATATGTATCTCCTGGTCGAAATAGCAAGTGGTGAAACTGGATATTGGGGTATATTGAATCGTTTTTTGTATTGACAAATCCCATCAAGTTGGTGATACCCATTCTGGACATTTCTCCACTTCTGTACATCATATATTTGTAAATATCGTCGGTTGCATCTTGAGGGTTCTGTGGCTTGACCGCGTTGGAGTTCGTTTTCACGAGGAATCCCATAAATATCAAATGATCCTGCAGGTTCTGTCCCACTGGTAAGTCTTTAATAACGTTGATGCCTAGCTCTCCAAGGTGTTTTTTCGGTCCTATCCCCGAAATCATGAGGAGTTGCGGTGAGTTTATTGCACCTGCGGATAATATGATTTCGTTCTTCGCGTACAGTTTCAACGTACGATTTCCTATTGCAACTTCAATTCCTTTTGCTGTTCCTGACTTTTCGTCGATGATAATTTTCTTTACGAAAGATTGTCGTGCCACTGATAAGTTTTCTCTATCTTTAACGGATCCTAGAAAAGCTTTTGCCGCATTGAATCTCGTCCCATTTTCTATGTTGTTCAATATGTTCAAGAAACCCAAAGGTTTTACCGGGTTTTCTTCATCAAGGCTGGGGTAGCCCAATACTCGTCCAGCTTCTTTTATTGTTTGTGCAACTGGTATACCTGCGAAATAAAAAAGGAATATGTGTATTGCATTCACGGTCAGCTGACTGACGTTTTTCAATTATACGTGATGTCAATCGAGATGGAGATACCGAACAACTATAATGCTTAGACATGATTTTCGAGAGTTTGCCGCATTTTTTGAAATCCGTTACGTCAGCCACCGGCACCGGGAGTTTTGCATCTCCAATTAGTTGTATCGGCATTGAATTTGTTGTAAAGTACTTTTGGTCGCCATAATAATTCAAAGCTCTATTATTTTGTTGGTTGTTGGAAAAGTTTTGCCCGTTTTAATGTCATTTGTTTTAGTAGCTCTATTGTACTCTGAACAATTGCCTGGTGCAATTGCCTGATGGCCGAAGGCTTTACAGAAGCTCTCTGACTTACAGAGACAGGCTTATCTGGCCATCAGTGGTGCCATCAGTGCCACACCGTCAGCGGCCATAGAGATCCTTCTCAATATAATGCAGAGTGCAACAGCATTCTGGAAATGACCTCGGACTGTCTCCAACTATCAACTACGAACTGCCTTATAAACTACTGTTCCCGAGTAGAAAGGACTGGATCCTCCGGCGTTGGAAGCTCTTGGCTCCTACCGAGCAACGTCTAAATTGGTAACAAATTGCCAAAAACAACTCTACTCGAAAGAAAGACTCAACAGATTACCTCTGGTCTGGATTCCTGACCATACTGGCTTGGAAAGCAATGAGGCAGCTGACTACCTTGCAAAGGAGGATGCTGCAAGCAGCTTTATCGGACCAGAACCTATCATTGGCATCGCTTTAGGCTTTGCCAAACAAAGATTGAACACCTGGAAGGCAAGAAGATTCATGGACTTCTGACATACTCTTCCGGGAGGCAGCAGGCGTTTATTCACCCTTCGAAGCTTTATACCAAACAGTTGTTGAACTACAGTAGGGATGAACTACGATGTCTAACTGGCCTTTTTACACTGTCATTTAAATCATCATATGCAGAGACTCGGACTGTCGGAAGACAATGTGTGTCGCCTCTATTTGGTAAATGATGAAGCAGCAGCAGCATACTTTGTGCCTGCCTCACTGTGGACCGAATCAGGTTTTTTGAATTTGGCAGAGTCGTACTCTTAACATCTCTCACCATCTGATCGGTTTCGTTGGGAAGCTGAGTTTATTTGGTCGAGTGTGAATAGGTGTGAACCACAATGAACCCTTGCGGGTTGCGGTGGAGGGTCGAATAGACCTACTCACTTTGGACCTCACCTAACCTAACCTAGACACCGATGAGCCACTCAGGCACTTCGCCAAGACAAAAACCCACAAAAATATGGTTACTGTTTAGTCAGCAGCTGGTGTGACTTAATATAACTCTCTGCAACAGGGCCAAACCATCATATCAGAGTAGGTAGCAGTCATGACACCACTCCACTCAGCAATCTACGATATTGATCAGATAAAAAAATTATGAAATCATTAGGCGTAGCGTACCTGAATCAATAGGTAAATACTACGCCCAACGATTTTATTATTTTTTTGCTAATGACACCACTCACAGTATTCACCACCGCACGTACATCACTTTACCTAGCTAGTCGCTAACTGAATTCACTTGTTTTCGTAATATCTTCGAATGATATTACTGACTGGATGGCGCGCGCGCTATTATATGAGGCAGCGGGCGGGCCTAGTACTTTCGAGAATGGAGACTAGAAACTTCTCGCTTCGCATTGGAGCTTACCGCCATCTATTGTACAGTTTGATAACTATCGGACAGGAAATAGCTACTGTCTAGCCCCTAGATGGCGTTGCACGAGGAAACGCGCGTTAAGCGTAAAGGAGCGGTAAAGTTTGTGTTAAAAACAAAAACAACATTTTTAAATCAGTCATCGCCCCGCTTCAACCGCTTCAACGCCCCCCAATCTTTTCTGTGCCCTTTACTGCCCCCCTATAGGCCTCCAGCGCCATCAAGGGGACGTTATCGCCCACTTTGAGAAAGACTGGCTTTGAGTATCGCTGCGGTTTGTGGTTCATTCGCGCTGTCCTGTTGAAACCATATGTAGTTGGTATCTATATCATCCAATTCAGGCCAAAAAAAGTTGGAAATCAGTGACCTATAGTTTTCTCCGTTGGCAGTGGTAGCCTGGCCAAAGTCGTTCTCGAAGAAATATGGACCAATGACACCGCCAGCCCAAAATCTACACCAAATGTGTCTTTTTCGGGACGCATTGGTCGCTCTTGAATCTCATTCATCAAGAAATGGGTCGGGTTTCATCGCTAAAAATGATTTTCCGATGAAAATAAGGATCAGTCGTCAATTGCTCCAAAGCCCATTCAGCGGACACATATCGTTGTCTATGGTCGTTTATCTTCAGTTCCTGGGTCAGTTGAATTTTGTACGGGTGCAGGCCCGAGTCGACGCAAAATTCGTCGAGTTGTGGTATACGAAAGGCCAAATTCTTGAGAGCGACGCGAAATCGACTGACTGGAATTCTCCTGCACACTCTCACAGATGGCGGCGATATTTTCGGCAGATCTTGCGTTTTGTCGGCGATCGGGTGGATATATTTAAGTCCACTGAACCAGTGGACTTAACCACATTGCGAATAGTCCTTATGGTAGGATGATTATGGCGACCGTAAAATTGGCGAAGCGCGCGGTACGTTGCTCGAACAGAACACTAATTTTGATTGAACAATTTAATTATTTGCACGTTTTGTTGAATGCTATATGGATCCATGGTGATTTGGCAAATCAGGCTGAATAAATGACAGATGCAGCCTTAACAAGATGGCCTTGACAATTTTCAGAGTTCAGAAGCCTCTGTTGGAATACTCCATACTGTATAAGATGATCGTGATATTAATTGTTAAAGCTACTTCTTCAAAATGAATCACATTAAAAATTTGATAGTCTTAAAACGATGTTTTCAATGTTATCTCGATTGTGTTATTCTAGAGTTGAATGGAACAGAGAAATCATACATTATTTTTCAAATAATGAACCTGGAAAAAGCTTGAAATTGTTGAAAAAACATGTTCTTCCTCACCTGATTCATATCTAGTTATCGGCAAGGATCCGTTTGTACCATATAATCCACTGAAAACCTCAGATTCTAACCTTTCAAATTCTTTGAAGTGCGGAAAAACGCTCTCCCAGTCCCAACCCACATTTCCGCTCTCAGCCCATTCGTCGTAGTCTCTTTTATTTCCTCTGACATATAACATATAGTTCACAGAACTGCAGCCGCCCAAGGCCTTTCCTCGGGGCCATTTGCATATGCTGTCTTCTATACCAAGGCATGATTTTTCGGAAAATTCTGTTTTGTACTGCCAGTCTTCAGCAGTACCTTGCAGACTAAACGTCAGGCTGGGAATCTTGAAAAAAAATTTCATTAGTACGCTATAGATATAAGATCAATGGAATATCATCTTTTTTTCACAAGATTTTATTCATGTTGTAATTGTGATGCACTGTTTGGAAACTGCCCAAAAAAAAGTACCTCCGGCCGCTGCTGGTAGTCATAATTCAATTGTGACGTGACCAAGATCACGGCTAACTCGACGTGTGCTAGCGGCCGTTTCAGAGGTGGTGTTTCCTCAAGAATAATGCTCCTGTTTCGTGGCTGTTAGGTGTTTGCACTGGTTCGATGTTCGCGTTGCTTCTATAGAATTCCTGAGAATTTTCTACGGCCTTCTATTGCCAAATATAAACACACGATCCTCTCGCCTATCGAGACAGTCAAGTGACAGTGCGGTACGCGGAGCGATCTAGTTAGGCGATAGAAATTTGAATAATATTTGGTTTGAGTTAACGTGTTTTGTTGTATTAAAAGTGAAATAAAGTTAGGTTTGATTATCATACACTGTAGTCAATTATTGGTAAAACCACGGAGAAAAACGTAATAGTATACAAGGTGGCCTATAGAAATCTTGACATTGAGGGTAATAATGTCGCAGATATGGTAAAATACTCGAGTTCAAATCGGGCGCGTCCCCAGGTGGCGGATAGGGCAACGGCCAGGGAACTGGAGGCCCTGTTCGGGAAGCCAATGTGGCCTTACGGACGGGGTCGCCGAACTCCTGAACAGCGGCAGAAATAAGTAGGGTGAGGGGAACTAAAAATCCTCGAAAGCCTTCGCAAAACATGCCACCGTGGACTAGTCTACCCAAGCTAAGGTGTAAGGAATCGTACCGCCAGCTGAATGGCCGCAGGGTGATATGCGGTTACGAACGATCCCTTTGGGGAAGTGAGCGCAACCTTATTGTAATCAGCCTACCTCTGGTAAGGCGGGGCTCTGCCAGAGGTACCAACTCTTCCCTTGCTACACGTGGGAACACACATGAATGAAACAAGAACAAAAAACAGAAACAACAAAAACAAATTTCGAAGCTGAACAGATATGGTCACCTCAATCCAAGGCGGTGGCCGGGGATGAATAGAAATGTCCACCCCAATCTACCGCTTGGAATGAGGCTGAATGACATAGCAGATCACCTCGTGATGTAATACAAAGGTCAAGGCGTAAGCGCATTTGCGGCGCCGAGGCCATAAGGAGAAACAGATCGAAGGAGGCAGGAGTGGCAGCAACTATAAGTGCAACCTCCTCTTCCCCCACTTCACCCACATCAGCAATGTCACTTCCTGCGGCGGGCGCCAAGAGCTCCGCCTTGTATGAAGGCAAGGAACCGACTGCCCCTGCAGGAAAGCTCCCTCACTTGTGCACCTCCAAGGAAGGAACCCCAGGTAGGGTTCCATAACCTTCGCGGAGGCCACCCTGAGACACCTCAATGTTGCCAAAGAGAGTGTTTTCGACGAGTCTTGGCCTACGCCTACCGATATAAAGGAGATTTCTCCTAGTGACCTGTTCACCTTCCTGGAAAGGACAGGATGTACGATGACCTAGGAGGACAACTCCTCGGGACGATGTACAACGGGTCACATGTGGCCTAAGTGCTGTGGGTCTACACCCTCCCTACTCTACAGATACAGATAATACAGATATGTATCTGTAATTACATTGATTTTGCAGAAAGCGTTAAGGAGCATTTCTGGGGGTAATTAGATGACATTCATTTATGATAAGTTTTTATAATATCGATTGTCTTCTAAGAATGAAGGGCCAACGATACGATCACGTAAAATACCATGCCATACATTTAATTCTTGGCGATGTTGCCTTATGAAAAATGTGTGGATTCGAATCAGCCCAATATGAACAATTATAACAATTAATTGTACCATTGTTGTGGAATTGGCCGCGGTGGTAGTGCGCCTGACTCACGATCGGAAGGCCATGGGTTCGATTCCCACCTCGACCTGATATTTTTCTCGAGATAATTTATCTGGTTGAAGCTGGGATGATTCTGCAACCGTGTTAGGAATCACACGTTGAAAGGTAAGACCTCGTCAGTCCTTAGCTCGCACAAGTTTCTCAACTTCTGAGGGTTGTCGTTCGTATGGGGGTGACAGCTGATTAACGAAAAAACAGATTTAAGAACAAAAAAAATCATAACTGAAACAGATGTTGGAAAAAAACTGTGGATTTGCAGGATTATTAGAGTCGATCAACATCATCTACATAAAGTATCACAAGTGATCACCACCTGAAATTAATGATATCTTTCAGGATACTTCATATAAATCTGTTTTTTTTTTCAATTCCCAAGACGGAAGTATGTATTTAAATTCCGAAACGCCAAGGTGGGTATTATTAAAATTCCTAGCTCTATTGTATAGACAAAATCTATAAACTAAGTCAAGTAACAGAGCATCATTATTTTTGAAGAACTTTTCGTATCACACGGTAACTTATCAGGGTGAACTAGAAGTTTGCCTTTTCCACATCTGTATGAAGTTCTCCATTACAATTTTTATTTTTTCATATTAGTTGTGAATATTTCTGGTGTTTCTATCCATAATAAACATTATATTCCGATGGTTCAATTCAATTCTTTTCGTCACCCTCGAGATCCTTCGTAATGTATAATAATCAAGAACAAAAAAATATTTCAATTTCACGAATATTCAGCAAATCCCAAAAAAAATTCAAAGAGGTACATTACATCGCTAGTGGCCGAAGGATGTTCTCCAGCTTCCAAGACCAACACCTTCCAATTTTTGTTTTCGCTCAACTTATTTGCCACCATAGATCCTGCTGATCCAGCTCCTATCACGATGAAGTCGAACTCGTCTCCGTCCATGAGTTTGGGTGCATAATCATCTGGGTAAAGCTGTGATGATCCTAGCGAACACTTTGCTGCCATGAGGGAATTTAAAAGGGTGAGGAAAAGTTGTGCGGGAACTCCCTGTAGGTTATTCGGACAAGGATCCGTTATGTTGTAGGATGGATCCATCGCTGTGCTGAAATTCAAAAGAACATTGTGTGGTACAACATATTTGTGGCTAATTCAAGGCAAGAATTTGACCGCTTTTCACGATCAATATCAGAAAAATCTGTAGACAGCAAACTCATTATCCCGTATTCTTTACGGCCCGCGATCAGCAACAGGTGGACCGCGGTCCGTCTACGGACCGCGAAAGGTTGACTCGCGGACCGGTCTAAATATTTATATATATATATTTAGCAAGTTTTTAATAGATTCTTC